TGCAGATATCAGATCGGCCTTCAGAGTGAACCCAAAGAAAGCAACTGGCCCTGACAGAATCCTCAGTTGTGCACTCAGATCCTGCGCGGACCAGCTGGGGGGAGTATTCTTTAGTCTCTCCTTGCTACAATCTGAAGTCGCCACCTGCTTCAAGAAGACTACCATCATCCTAGTACTAAAGGAAACACATGCAATGTGCCTCAATGACTACTGCCTGGTGGTTCTGACCTCCACCATCGTGAAATGCTTCGAGAGGTTAATCATGGCCCACATCAACTCAAACGTTCCAGCCTGCCTCGATCCTTTGAAATCTGCCTCCTGGTGAAACAGGTCCAAAGCAGATGCCTTTTCCCTACCTCTACACTCATCCCGGAAACATCTGGATAATAAGGATACCTGTGTCAGGCTCCTACTTATTGACTATAGTTCCATCTTCAACACGATAATCCCAACCAAACTAATCTAAAACTCCAAGACCTAGGTCTTGGCTTCGCCTTCTGCAACTGGATCCTCAGCTTCCTGACCCACAGATCACAATCAGTGAGAATTGGCAACAGCATCTCCTCCACAACAATCCTCAATACTGGCACCCTGCAAGGATGCATACTCAGCTGCCTACTGTACTCCCTGTACTCTCATGACTGTATGGTCAAATTTCGCATGAACACCATCTACAAGTTCGCTGACGACACCACCATTGTAGGCCGGATATCAAACAATGACAAGTCAGAATATAGGAAGGAGATAGAATGCTTGGTGTTGTGCTGCAATGATATCAATCTATCCCTTAACGTCAGCAAGACTAAAGAATGGTTCATCGAATTCCGAAAGAGAGGAGGACACATGCCTATCTACATCAATGGAGCTGAGGTGGAGAGCGTTGACAGCATCAAGTTCCTAGGAGTGATGATAACCAACAATCTGTCCTGGATCTCCCACGTAGATGCGACAGTGTCACAACAATGCCTCTTCTTCCTCAGGAGGCTTAGGAAATTCAGCATGTTCACTTTTATAGATACACATTAGAAAGCATTCTATCTGGGTGCATAACAGCTTGGCAAGGCAACTGCTCTGCCCAGGACAATAACAAACTACAGAAAGTTATGTGAACAGCCCAGGCCATCATGAAAGCCAACCTCCCATCCACAGATTCCATCTACACTTCTTATGTGGCCGACTTTGGCTACCAACAGGATCAAAGATCCCTCCCAACCCAGTAATATTCTCTTCCAACCTCTTCAGTCAGGCAGAGGATACAGAAGCTTAAACACATGTATCAACAGGATCAAGAACACCTTCTTCCCTGCTGTTGTTAGACTGCTGAATGGACCTCTCAAATTTCAAATCTACTGCTGGTCTTGCATTTGTGCACTTCCTGTGTGGCTATAACCTTGTATGCCTCACTCAGTCTAATCACCCTATGATCTGCCTGTATTTCTCGCAAAACAAAACTTTTTACTGTACTTGGGTACATGTGACAATAATAAATCAAATCATTTGGATAAATGGTATTCTCTAAAGAAAGTGATTGTTAATTTTGTTTCAAGTTAATTCCTGCTTCCTCAAACCTACCTTCAGTCCCAACACTTACTGCTCATTCCCTGAGCTGTAGTCACCTCTGTTGTGGTTGTTCCGCCAAATCTTGTTATTCCCTCCTATCTGCCTCTTCTTTCCTTTCATTAGCTTTAATTCAACTTCAGCTAGTTTGCTCTCTACTTTTTAGCTAGATTTCTGGTCCTTGCTGCTAATCCTAGCCCTAATTTTTTTAAACCTCCTTCCTGCTGTTAGTGCAGCTAAACAGTTGATTAGCTGAAATTTCCAGCAACAAAATTACAGGTTTTTTTTTTTTTTAAAAAAGTGACTGGACGCAGGTGCAGAGTTCTGCATAACAGCCTCCTGTAAACAGGTAACCTATTCTTTACAGATGCGTTATTTGCTGAGCGACTGTGCATGTAATTCAGGACAAAATATGCTCATTATAGGCAAACATTAATTAAAACCAGACCATAGCTCTGAAAACAGTTGTATATGCACATAGATAACAAGGTGTAGAGCTGGATGAACACAGGCCAAAAAACAGCAGAGGAGCAGAAAAGCGGACGTTTCGGGTCTGGACCCTTCTTCAGAAAGCATCCAGACCTGAAACGTCAGCTTTTCTGCTCCTCTGATGCTGCTTGGCCTGTGTTCATCCAGCTCTACACCTTGTTATCTCAGATTCTCCAGCATCGGCAGTTCCTACTATCTCTGCATATGCACACAGCTGCCTGGCTCACTAGGTCATTTCAGAGATCAATTTAAAGCCAATCACATTATCATGGGTTTGAAGTCACATGTAGGCCAGACCAAGTAACACAGCAGGTTTTCTTCTCTAAAGGATATTTGTCCACCAGGTGGGTTTTCACGACTGTCTGGTAATTTCATGGTCACTGCCTCAAATATTAATTTTCTATGGTTCCAAATGTAATTTACTGAAATTAAATTTCCCAGTTGCCACGGTGGGTGTTAAACTCAGGCCACTGATTACCAACCCAGTAACATGGTATGATTTCAGATGAGGGTAATATTGGCCAAGTAATATCCCAGAGTGAAACCTGGATTAATTGACCAGAAGTTTACTTTTGTTTACTATGTTTACTGTGCGAGCACATTCGCAAATGGTTTCCAATATACCTTTCACAAAAGAACAAAGTGTATTACACACAAGGAAAACTATTTTGGACCATATAAGTTTTGTAACAGTCTTATTGCAAAAAGCAGAAATAAAGATAGAAATAAGACCTTCTCATCCTCAACATCCTTATGGGTACTCAAAACCTCATTGAAAGGTTTTATTTTCTAATTTTGAATTTCTTGTTCAATTTGCATTGTTGTACTTGGTTTCTTTCTGTCAAACCTTTGCATTCTCTTGATGCTATCTTTTTAGTTATATCTCTTCATCAGGTCCTTAAACTACCAACAAGTCATTTACCTCTTGAGGTTTGTAGGATGCATTCCGCTCTGACATCTTAAAGCACTGTTTCCGGACCTTTTCTCTTACAACATCTAAGCTACTCAAGACTTTTCTTCTGCCCTGACTGTTTGGAGACTGCCAAAAATGCACTGCTGCTCTTAGAGATCTTTTTCTGTCTTAATAACCTGCTTCGTTCTCTGAAAGATGCATGTACAGTCACTGTTGTTTTTCTTCAAAAAAAAAAAAAGCACTGCTTCCATCTCTGACTTCCATGATCATAGGGCACTAAGAATTTTATTTTCTCCATTTTACCCATATTTTCCTGAAGCACTTAATTATTTCATTTCAATTTTAATTTTTAAAAGCCTAATTTAAATGTACGTCAGCACATTTCCAGACCACCTATCATCATTCTCAGAACTCAAATGAAACTACAAATAGTTACCTTGTTAACACACAACATAGAATTATGAATCAAGAACCTTCATCACACATATCCACCATGCTACTTATGAACCAGTAGAACGCAAAATATCTATTCTAAGAGCTGTGGAGTTCTTCCCACAGCCAATACTTATTCTGAAGCCAGCTTTGTTAAAACAGATGATCTAGTCATTACATCATTGCTATTTTATTGGACCCAGCAGTGTGGAAACTGGCTGATACATTTCCAATGTCATACTTCAAACATTTTTCATTGGTTGTGGTTCATTTGGCATTTCCTGAGCTTATGAGAAATGCTGCATAAAAACATCTCTTTCTGGAAAAAAGATCTGAAATGAACCTCCAACTATTTCATTTAGTATCAAAACCTCAGATGAATAATAGCCAGTTAAGTCAATAAATGTGTAACTGGAAAAGCACAGCAGGTCAGACAGCATCCAAGGAGCAGGGAAGTCAAGATTTTGGGCCGAGACCCTTCGTCAGGACTGGGGAGGGTAAAGGGAGCCCAGAAATAACACATCATCCTGTGACATTTCTGCCACCTACAACCAGACCCCACCACCAAAAAGATATTTCCCGCCCCACCACGTGTCTGCTTTCCACAGGGACCATTCATTCCGCGACTCCCTTGTCAGCTCCACACTCCCCACAACCCTTCCACCACACCTGGTACCTTTCTCTGCAACCGCAGGAGGTGCAACACCTGCCTCTACACCTGCCCTCTTACCTCTATCCAAGGCCCCAAACAATCCTTCCAAACCCAGTGGATATTCACATGCACTTCATCTAACCTCATCTACTGTATCCATTGCTCTCGATGTGGTCTCCTGTATGTCGGGGAGACCAAATGCAGAATCAGGGACCGGTTCGCGGAGCACCTGCACTCTGCACACCCCAACCAACCCAACTTTCCGGTTTCCATCCAATTGAATTCCCCCTCCCACTCCCCTGATGACATATCCATCCTTGGCCCCTCCACTGTCAGAGTGAGGCCAAACGTAAACTGGAGGATCAACACCTCATATTTTGCCTTGGGAGCTTACAGCCCAATGGTCTGAATATTGACTTCACCAGCTTCAAAATCTCTCCACCTCCAACCTGTCCATCTTCTGACTCACCTATCCACTCCACCGTTCTCACTGACCAACCACACTAACCCTGTATCTGCATCACCAGCTTCAAAATCTCTCCACCCCCAACCTGCATCCACCTATCTCCATCTCACCTACAACACCAACCTCCCCCAATCTCCACCCCCCTCCCAAGTCCTGACAAAGGGTTTGGGCCCAAAACGTTGACTTCCCTGCTCCTTGGATGCAGGCTGACCTGCTCTGCTTTTCCAGCTCCACCTTTACTTACTCTCGCTTCCTGCATCTGCAGTCCTTTCCGTCTCTCCAACAGTCACTTGACTATTGGAGGTCAAATGAGACCCAAATAACTGTACCATTGCAAGAAGTCAACACCTTCAGTCGAGACAAGGAGGAGCAAAAACAAAAAACAGGTAATCACAAAGTTTACCCAATTTGGTCACCGTCATAAAAAGGTAAATCACTGTATTTCATCACATCTAAATCAACAGTAAACATACAATTATTAGGAGACACACCTTGCAATATTTCCCTGTAAAGTGTCAGTCCATTTGAAGTTCTGAATGAAACGCAGTTTGTTTTCTTGTGTTGTGCCATCCAGGGACGATATGAAACCTTAGGAAGATGAAAGGGTAGAAAAACCGGAAATGTGACAATCCACAATATAAGATCTTGCTTTCCCAGTTTTGTTTACTATTCTGACTCAAGTATTATAGTTGTTTTCTAATCAACCTGTTACGTTATGACACATCTCTAGAGCAGGTAGGACTTGAACCCAGACCTCCTACCACAAGAGGTCTCATTGAGAAATTCTATTGCTGTCTGCACAGGTTGACAAGATAGAAGTTTGTTCTTTAAATGTTTTAAAGGATGTCAACATTGCTGACCAAGTCAGCATTTGCTGCCCATTCCTACGTGCCCTTGAACCAAGTAACATGTTAGCCCATTTCAGAGTGAAATTAAGGTCAATCATATTGCCATGGTTCTGGAGTCAAGTCACTCAGACCAGATAAGGGCAGCAGGTTTCCTTCCTGAAGTACATTAGTAAACCAGATGAATTTTACAACAATTGGTCACGATTACTGTGATCAGCTTTTTATTCTAGATTTATTAGTTAAAATGTCACTAGCTGCTCAGTTACCCAGTTTAAACAGTGTCCCATAACATTAGCCTGGACCTGTGGTTTATCAATCCAGTGACATTACAACCGCACCACTATCTTCTCCTGTATAGCAAGCTGAGGTGACAATGATTAAATTGGACATCAGATTCAGCAACACCTGGAGATGAGAGGGTGGGGATATGGAGATGAAGTATGATCTCGTAGTTTGAGGCAAGTTTAGGGATTTATTTGGTCCTGCAGGATCAAAGATGATCTTTTGGGTCTTCCCTCATGCCAAGAAAATTTTGCACTTTGTCCTGCTTGGCAGATGCTCCAGTTGAGGAGAGGTCATGGGTTGTGGATGCTACTGAATAACCTGTCATCCATCTTATAGATGCTACACATGGTTGCTACCATACGCCAATGACAGATGTTCTGAATGGAGGGGTACTTTGACCAGATAGCTTGAGCTTTATAGATAGTGGAAATTCTTCAGGGAATCAGGTGGCAAGTAATTCCCCAAAGAATTCCTCATCCTGACTTATTCCCACAGCACTTGTGGTTCATCCAGTCCACGTACTTTTAATCACTGGCTGGATCAGCATTTATTGCACATCGCTAATTGCCCAGTAGGCAGTTAGGAGTCTATCACACTGACGGAAATCACATATAGGCCAGACCTGGTAAAGATGGCAGTTTCCCTTCCTACAGAACTTTAATGAACCAGATGGATTTTTCTGACAATTGACAATGGTTTCATTGTCATTATTGGACACTTAATTCTAGATATTTTATTGAATTCAAATTCCATCATCTGCCATGGCATTATTCAAACCCAGGTCTCTAGAACATTAGCTGGGTCTCTGGATTATAGTTTTGAGATGATACCACTAGGCCAACACCAACCCCTGATGATGACAGTTATATAGAGTCATAGACTCATACAGCTTGGAAACAGACCCTTTGGTCCAACCAATCCATTCCAAACATAATTCCAAACTAAACTCATCCCACCTGCCTGCTCCTGGCACATATCCCTCCAAATCTTTGCTATTCATGTAATTATCCAAATGTCTTTTAAATGTTGTAATTGTACCCACATCCACCACTTCCTCAGGAAGTTCATTGCAAACACGAACCACCCTCTGCGTAAAACATTTGCCTATTATGTCTTTTTAAAAATCTCTCTCCACTCACCTTAAAAATATGTCCCCTTGTCTTGAAAAGACAACTACCATTAACTTTATCTATACCTCTCATAATTTTATAAACTTCTGTCAAGTCACCTCTCAACCTCCTACGGTCCAGTGAAAAAAGTCCCAGCCTATCCAGCCTTTCTTTATAACTCAAACCTTCCATAGCCGGCAACATCCTGATTAATCTCTTATGAACCCTCTCCAGCTTGATAATATCCTTCCTATAACTGGGCAACCAGAACTGGACACAGGATTCCAGAAGAGGTCTCACCAATGCCATGTACAAACTCAACTTGGCTTCCCAACTCTTGTGCTCGAAGGACTAAGCAATAAAGACAAGCATGCCAAACACCTTTTTGAACAGCCTGTCTATATGCAACAAACTTCAAAGAATTATGTACCTGCCCCCCTAGGTCCCTCTGTTCTACAACACGAACCAAGGCCCTACCATTAATTGTATGAGCCCTAAACTTGTTTTTACACCAAAATGCAATACCTCGCATTTATCCAGGTCAAACTCCATCTGCCATTTTTCAGCCCATTGGTCCATTTGATCAAGGTCCCTTTGTAATCTTAGAAAACCTTCTTCACTGTCTACTAAGACACCAATATTGGTCTCATCTGCAAACTTACTAACCATGCCTTCTATATTTTCATCCAAATCATTTATCTAAATGACAAACAAAACAGACCCAGAACCGGTCTCTGTGAAATACTGATCATAGGCTTCCAGTGCGAAAAACAACCCTTCACCATTACTGTTTCCTGCCGTTAAGCCAATAATGTATCCAGTTGGCAGGCTCACCCTAAATCCTATGTGACTTAACTTTACTAATTATCGTACCATGCGGAACCCTGTCAAAGGTTTTTCTAAAATCCAAATAAACGTCATCTACTACTCTGCCATCAATCTTTTTGGTAACTTCCTCAAAAAATGTAATCAAGCTGGACAGACATGATTTTCCACACACAAAACCATGCTGACTATCCCTAATCAATTTTTGCCTCTCTAAATGTCCATAAATCCTGTCTTTTGTAATCAGCTCCAACAATTTAACCCCAATCGAAGTCAGACTCACAGGTTTATAGTTCTCCAGTTTCTCCTTGCAACCTTTCTTAAACAAAGGTACAACATTAACCACCGCCGAGTCATCAGACGCCTCATCTGTAGTTATAGATGATGCAAATATTTCTGCAAGGGGTCTCGTAATTTCCTCCCTTGCTTCCCATAACATTTTGGGATACATTAGATCAGGTCCCATAGATTTATCCACCTCTAAGATCTCCCATCAATAATGACTATCAGTGAACCAATGTAATGACAGAACTGAGCACGGCATAATTTACAGTACAATACAGCACAGGAACAGGACCTTCAGCTCAGCAAGCCTGCGCCGACTCCTAATCCTTATTTCGACCCACTTCTTATTGCGCACGTGCGGTATCTATCCCTCTGCTCGTTCACGTTCTCGTGTCTACCAAGATCTTAAATGTTGCTAATGTGCCAGCTTCCATCACCTCCATTGGCAGTGCTTTCCAGGCACCCACCACCCTCTGAGTGAAAACTTTTCACCGCACTTCTCCCCCAAAACTTGACCCCTCTCACCTTGAACCTGTGCTTCTTGTAGTTGACCTTTCCACCATGGGAAAAAGCCTCTGATTTGAACCCACCAACTTCTGCATCCAGCGCATTA